AGACTATATGAGAATAATAAATTAAATCAACAAATGAAAAATAAAATTAATAGTAATGTGGTTAGCACTATTGGCTCTCAATGGCATGGTCCAGGATCAAATTTCGGCTTGTGATGTTTTGATTGTGGGTCCACTGGTTTGCCAAAAACACGGATGTCAAATATGGTTGAATACTCAAAACTGGACCTATCTGGTGGTGGAGCTAATCCTTTGTTATTGTTGTTTTTATGGACTCTACTCAATTTTACACAGATTCCTTCTGGTTTAAAGTGTTTTACTAGCAAAATACTTACAGACTGGGCCTGACCTTATTTAGCACCTAATGTGCAGTTTCTCATTTCATCTCATTGTCACCTCCTAAATTCAGTTGTGCAGGGCTGACTGCAATAACTTCCCTTCAAACAGTTTAGATCAACTACTTTATTCAACAAGTCTAACTCAGTATCTAATTCTCAAGGAGGAATTCAATGCTTCTGTAAACTTCACTGCATGTATCTCATAAGCCCTAATGCACATATTCTGATTGCCAATAAAAATCTAATCTTTTAAATTTCTTCCAGTGACACACAAGGCTTAATATAATTTAGCTCAAGTTTCACTACCCCATGTATCATTTCAGAGATGAATATGTCATCAAATGCTAGACTATTGGCTGCTTCAGCAGTTAAATTGATAAATAGAGGCTGGCTATTCCTCTGCAACACTTGTTAGGATCATTCTACTTAAGAACATCTGCTGAATCTCAGTTGTTATGTCTGAGATGGCTTTTCTTGTTACATTCATATACAAAGCCACGGTAAATAAGCATCATTGACACCGTGATTATCATGACTGTAATAAACACACCAAGCATTAAATTGAGCTTGCACTGTAAAAATAAATCTGTATCTTGTAGCCTAGTCTTGAGCATTACACAGGATGACATTTTAAATGCAGGTGAAAAAAGTGCTGTGAAAAATTGTCTAGTGAAAGTCTACAATTTTTTAACCTTCTTTTTAATTATGACAGCGTTCTACATATACCACAGTATACTGCATGTTGATTTGTTTTATGGTCAATATCATGAGTTATGTGGAAATATTACATTATAAATGGGCTAATGTCCTCCAAACTTTTGCAGTATTTTTATGTTCTTATTTATATTTTCATTTTTATTTAAAATTGTATTTATCACATTTCTGTTAGCCCCAGTCTAACAATTCCTAATTATGGAAAAGTGCCTTTGTGGGTGGTCAGTCTTTCTGACACTTAATTCAGATGAGGGCCAGAGGCTTTTCATCATTCAATCCACGGTGAGCTGACTTTCATTTTTATACATTCCTCTATTTAATTATGGAGTAAAGCAGTATACATAATGTGAACATGAAGGAACAAGTAATTGGTTTATTCCATGCTGAAAAAAAAGAACAAAGGCTCACACCTGAAGAAGGCTCAACAGCCGAAAGGTTGTGTTTTCTTTCTTCTTTTTTTCCAGCATGGAACAAACCTATTGCTTGTTCCTCTGCAGCCTACGCATGCTGACGCAGCTACTGTACCCACCTGAACTATAATGAGAACATGATCTCAATCTTCATTGGGTTAAGCAAAATCATTGATTCTGTTTTTTTTTGCTATTTTTGACAGTGTTTATAGAAGTTTGAATAAAATAAAATATACATCTTACTGTATGTTCATTGTTTCTTGAACATTAAAGTGCATACTTAGGGCACTTTAATTTGTTTCATGAAAATTAAAAAATGTAATGACTTATGCATTACTACATATAGTACGTGTTCCAACTTTTTTATACAGTTAGACTTTTGTTTCAGTTCAAGTAGGATACAATTCAATGGAATTCCAAATTTGACAAGCACCAGCAGGGAATCAATATTGCGTGAGCATCCCCAGAAAAGAACAGAGACCCACTATACCAGAGATCAGAAAGAAGATAGGAAAGTGACTGAGCAGTTCTATACCATTCCCCACCCTTTTCGATGTCTTAAAACTCAGGAACATCAATAATGATTTATCAGAGGATCAGCCACCTTCCTTTCCTTGGAGGTGCTGATGCTTGTTAACTATACCTCCATCACTGATAAGCTTGAATAAATAATATTATATATATGAAACATGGGATAAAAGAAGGAGTAAAGATACTGTGACAAGGCAGGATGAACCACAAAATACAATAAACCTAACAGAAAAGACAAGGATTGTACTCTGCTGTCTCAAATCAATGATCTCTAGGGCAGAGTGATGAAAAGTTAAAAAGAAGAGCTTATGTGGGATTCCTGAGAATATGCTCTCCATTCTTTCTTTTCTTTACACTGGAACTGATAATGTCACTGTAAAAGATACTGCTGAAACCTAAGCAATGAAGGCAGTTGATTCGAACATAATCAGAAATAAAAATTAATTAGGTTTAAACTCAAAGAACACCTATAAATCTGAATGACCTCAGCAACATTTTTTTTTATTTGAAATTAAAAGTAGGAGGAAAGAGTTTGGACTAACAAAAGACATCTCAGCATTAGTTCAAACTAAAGACCAAAAAGAGTAATAAAATAAAGCCAATAAAGTCAAGAGTAAAGCCAAAATAGCAACAAACTGTCTAGAAAAGTTTTACTTTTTATTTTACAGTTGGAATTATATGTAATTTTCTAATCTTTCCATGGTCAAAGAAAATTATTTTCTTTCACAGATTCACAGATAATCAGTTGAAATCCAGGTTTTCTGGAGATTGGGAAGCTTTAGACTCCCAGTGATACTCAACAGAAACTCTATAGTTACCTAATACTCAGTAACACAATAGAATCACAAATGTAATTTAATTACACACCAGACACACCAGAATATATGTAGTCCCAGCTATTCTTCTCTGGATATAGAAGGGTATAGAACATAAACTGTTTTTTTCTTTAATTCCACTTTAAAGACTTTAACTTATTCTAATAGAAATGTATTTATATAGAATATATACTGTATTCAGTACCCCAATCTACTCTCTCCACTCATTGTGTATTCTCATTTGTATATCTTGTGCATTTTTTATTGCCATTCTGTAAAGCGCTTTAAGAAGCCAACTTTAAACACGCTATATAAAATAAAGTATATTTTCAGATTTATGATTCTCATTCAACTTTATAATGTTGTACAACATTAAAAAAACATTCTTCATTTTCTTTTTCCAACCAATTGTATACTGCACTTCAATTTATAAAGGTATAACTAAAAGGTATAACTTATCTTTGAGCTGTAATTAAATATTATTTTATTTATTAAGTGCACAGAAAGGTCACACTTCATACGATTTTCAGCAGTTGACATTTCTATGTTGGGCAGAGAAACATATACGGTGGTTTTTAATATAACAAAGTTTTAAAACCATATTTTTCTTATTTCACTTATTTAGCTTTTTTAAACAATGTTTTGGTACATACAAATCTGAACAAGAAACATTTCAATAAATATATCTTTAAAACATTGTAACTATCAGTACTATTATTATAACTAATGAGGTTATTTAAGCACTATATTGAATGTGAAAAAATACAAGTTGAAACTCCACTAATGAAATTACTACATTATGAATTTAATTATTATTGCATTGAAATTAATGACTTACCTGACTCATTCCAAATAACAAAGTAAACATTCTGCATGTTTTGCATAAGTTTAACATGACTATTGATGACTGCTCTAGACATTTTCCTGGAATGCATTGGTTTAGTTATAATGGTTATATAAATTAACATTATTTGCAGAACATTATGGAATATTTAAATAGGACCTATACAAATATATAAATATACATATGTAAAAATGTCTTCTGGATTAATTTTTTTATAAGCCAAATTCTCATTAAAGCATTTTCTGAGAACATTGTAAACTTCAAAAGAAATAACTCATAGTTACGGTTGTACTTAATAACCAAACTGTAAACTCACTGAAAGTAATCTCTTTGAAACTGAAAGAAGAGTGTCACTGATGTACCCCATTTACTTTTCCCTCTGTATTGTCAAACATGAGAAGAAATCACAGGATGGGCGAATCATAAAGAACAGCCTGGGCTGGACACTCTTAATTCATGCTTGGAAAAAGAAACAAAGGAACGTACTGTCTCTAATCACTGTTGTGCAAGGAATGCAGCTAGTGGTGATGCCTTTCTTAAAAGTTTATGAAGACAGAAAAAAGGAGCTTGGCTTCTTCTTGGCTCTTGATGTGTCCAGAGATCTAAAGGATGAAACTCGGCTCACTTTCTTTGCTCAGTATTTTAATAGACCTCCAAAACCTCCCCATACCCTTTGAAGAAAGGCTAAGCCTTCAGAAAGAAGCAACTTGAAAGGGCCATTTACTCCCTTTCTGAAGTACTTATCATTGTAGTGCCCTTCTTAATTCTTTCACTTGCCAAATACTAGATATATACTGTTTATAGTCACACCATTGCATTGCAGGGCTTTTTCTGACAATATTTAAGAAAGGCATTGTCTTCTTAACAAATTCAATCCAACAGTACATTTCTGTTTATTATTATAACTCCACATTCATCTTGGAAAATCTGTGAAATGCAAACAGTTTTTATTTTCTGGGAGTAGATATGCAGGTCCTTGTTGACATAAGGTTATACAATGCCCTTGCATATATTTGTACTTTGAAAATATTAAGCAACCTTGCTAATAAAATTATCAAAACTCACATGGACATATTTGTGATAAAGTTGTGGGCATCAAGGTTTATCTTTGCTGAGTTAATAAAAATGCAATTCATTGGGGAAGAAAAAACACTTTTTGAAAACCTTGACTGTCAGGAATTGTACAATGTATAACTTAATATAGATATTAAATGTAAACAAAATCATCTAATACTATGTGTGCCTAGATGAGGTCTACTTATTGGAAAAAAATGGTCTTATCCTTAATAAACATACACTACTGACATAAAAAGCAAAGCAGCTTCACACCTGGTCAAAAACTACAGACTACATTCTCATACTTAATACTCTAATATTCACTTCTGATGTATATCACTAAGATTAATGGATAAGATAGTGTATGGGGTCCTGAGTTGCATTTGACTCACTTTATCACAACTCTATAGTATGTGGCTCCTTTTCCAATTCTTGGGACTCCCGCCAAAAATAATACAGCTGATGAAGGTGTTGTAAAAAGGTTACTGTCAGTTGAAACCAAGTCATGATGAGGAATGCAGTAGAGTCTCCCAGGGTTACACACTTGTTCCAAATATGTTCTTGCCATCAATTGACTGAATCCAGAAGTGCACCAGCTGGTAGGACAAGAGTTTCCTGGCAGAGATCCTCAGTAATCAGTGTTTTACATACTTTTTTCACTAGAAATCATGCAGATTAAGGAATGTCCTTTGATCTGAATATCAAATGGACAAAGACTAAGATGATATTCGGGTCAGAATCAAGGAACAATGGGAGGTGACAATGTGGAAGGTGTTGAAGCCATGACCTATCTTGGAAGTAATCTGCAATGTGCTGGTAGCAGAGTCTATCAAGTAACCAGTTTGAGAGACAAACTGAAATTACGTATGAATACCTGAAAGATAGGAATAGACAGAAACTTTTAGTCATGCAGAATTCTGAAATGTTCTTCTAATTTAGCTCTATCATTTCCAAAACATTACCAGGATCAAACATTAAGTACACAATTGCTGCCGCTGTAGGTCAGGAAATTCTCAGTAGTCTAGGTTAATAAATTGGAGATTAATTAAAATTATGATTTTATAATTTAGAATAAAAATCTGAAATTGCAGATTATTTGCGTTGGATATCAGAGTATTTGCATTGGATCTGTATTTTGTCTAAAAATAGAAATGTTTACAATGTGTTCTTTGCTGTTGAATCTCAAAACTGGCTAATTCTGAAGCCATTAAAAATAAATAATTCTACTCTTTAAGTACGAAACTTCACAAAACAGCTGTTGCTTACCTTTATAACAAGGTTTATTTTAAAGGCAGTGGCCACAGAAAATGTGAAATGTTGAGCAACCCATAGAAAAATCAGCATGGTTTACTATTCAGTAATTTTGCAATGATGAGATTAACGCATTTGAAATGCAAATACAATAGAATTTTCTATAATGAAGCCTTTTACTGTATCCCATAGAAAACCAAGATCCTCTGGATGGTATAATACATCATCTCAAGTAGAAGATGACCTATTTGGGACAAATAGTCAGATAACATTCAGGAGGGATCACTTCAATGACAGACAATTTATCCATTGTCATGTCCTGACCACCTCTTCTGACTCAGATGGAGATATACTGTATGTGATTCAAGTACAGACAGTTCTGTAGGTAAAAGTAGGGGGAAAAAAATTCCAGATTGAATGTCCAAATTGTATAGAATAAAATATACAAATGCAGCCATTCAAAATGCACGGTACAAACCCGTACCACGGGCATCTACGCTTGCGCCACCACGCCCTACCACGGTAAGTGATTGGCTGGACAAAATGACAGACAGGGGCACTCGTAGTGAAAAGATTTAATCATTTAATCTCTTTACTGTGCACATTTCAATCCGCTTAATATTGAATATTTATATGGAATTTTACCACTAAATGGAAATTTTAGTAGCTGAGCATAAAAAGAATAGGAGCATAACGCATCTGAAGGTCATAAACGATATTAATTTAGAAACATAAACATATTATGTAAACTGTATATTGCTGGTCTTGGAATTTAAAAGAAAAAATACACACCAGTATTCCATTTCTCCCTAAACATTTTAAGCATCAAAGTCTTACATGTGGTTATTTCGCAAATATTTTTACGTGCTCCTTGCTCCTTCTGACCATGTTACTGTACGTTTATACACTATACAGTACTTTGTGAGAAAAGTGATAGTTTTAAGCTTTTCTGCAAATACGCTCGACACCGGAGTAAACTGAAGCATACTTTTAGAATTAATAGGGTTGTACTGATTAATAGGAAATATAATATGGAATCGCGTATCTAAAGAAATTAATAATGACATAATTATATTCATGTACTGTAGCACAAAAAGTAGTATAAGACTTTCTAGTGATATGTGTACGGCTGTTTCAGTACTTGACATCTGTGGCCTGATGGCTTAAGTGATTGACTTATAAGTAAGAGGTGTTCAAATCCAGCTACTGCCATGAGTTTTCTTTTAACAAACATTTCTTTGAAAAACTAAAATAGCAATATTGTGGACACCATATTGAGTTTTTTATACCCCGTTTGTTTTGAATGGCTGCATCTGTATGCGTGTGGAGTCTATCAGCATTGTATTTGAATACAATTTATTTAGAGGAAAAATAAAAACAAAGTGTTCACATCTACAAAATCTGAAACCTGGCTGGTTTGATTGCTTTTAAAGTTAAAGTTCTGTCTAGATCTCTGTGGAAGAAATTTAGCATGATGTTGAATCGACAGATTCAATTATAGCAATTATTTTTAAATCTACAAGAAGGTTGAGTTCCACTGCATCATTGTCAGAAAAATTCTGTTCTAGAAAAGCCAACTTGGTTTCTTATTCAGCAGTAAAATATTTACTGTATGCAGTAATGTGCAAATACAATAGAATTATCTTACATAAACGTTTCCACTGCATCTCACAGTATGCAGGTGATGTTCACTGAACTGTGGTAAAAATGATTATAATTGTGTTCAAAACATTCTTTCAGTGCATAATATTAAAACATCATCCGGGGGCACATGAAGATATTATAGCACTAATCTGCAACATAGCAACATGGGTAGAGACAGAATTAAAATATGATTAATTCTGGGGAAAAGTCTGCCAAGTATATGATTCACAACAGCATTCACATCTGCATACAGAATCACGTTGAACTCAACAAATTCCAGCAGGAACTTGGCCATGAGATTAAAAAGAATCTGGTTTTAAAGTCTGGGGTTTTAAAGTCTGGGGCATTAACAAGAAAAAACTTTCTATTTTATTTGAAATATTAGTTTTCAAACATGAAGGTCTCCTTATTAATCTCCCACTGCCGCTCAACAGAAATAATTGAAAATGTCTTTGTAATTCAAATAAAGGACCATTTTGTTGTGTTTTCTGCATGAGTTGGCTGTCACATGGTAATATCAGCAGACCTACTATATATATATATATTCCTGTGTATATATAAACTATATAAAATATATATAATTTTCTTCTGCAGCATATCCACATACTGTAAGTACTTTTTTAAGTTTGATAGTTTTTCCTATACATATTCCAGAACTAAATGTAAACTGTTTCAAAGTTAAAAAATAATGTATTGAATGCAAAATGTACAATATACAGTACATGACAGCTTCAAAACACAAATTGAGACAGAAGTGACCTTCCTAAAAAGGAGCCCTTTCCCTCTCTTTCTTGTATGTGAGTCAGAAACTCATATAAAATTAGACTGCTTGTCACCATAACAGTCAAAAGGAAAGAAGTAAAAAAGACACAGAAAAAAAACATTAATTGTAACAAAGAAATTTCATAAAGTGTCAAAAGTGGGTGAAGGGCAATGGCATGAGAGCTATATTGACTGTTAAGAGATTGGTTCCCCGACCACAGAGGGTACCCTGCCCGTGAACATCTACCTCAGCCTACACGGGAAGGTCTAATTTACCTTTAACAAGATAACCAATCAGATATCTCCCTTAGCAACATTTACCAAACTACTTTAGCCTAGTTCACAGCTCATTCCATGTTCAGTATAGGAACTTTCTTGGTGAGCTCAACTACACTCCTCTTGTGCTAGTGTCTTCTTCTTGTTTAGTGTTTAGTGACAATGGCTTAACTTTTATCTACAATATTTGAATCTCGTCCTTGGAACTTCGTCCGACAACTGTGCTTTTCTGGTTAACGGACTTTGACTTTTTTCCTTTTGGATTACAATTTCTGGATCTGGAACCCGGGTTTTAAAACCACTGCTCTGAACCCATTTGACCGTGCTTTCTTTCATTACCATCGGCATTGGTTTGGTTTCCAAAACCACCGCATAGGGTCCATTATCTTCACTACTAGCTATCTTGTTTTTGAAACAATTGACTTTATGCATTTACATAATGGCCAGTGTTTTTGACAGGTTTGGTGTTTTTGTCTGTATTTGCTTTTTTCCTCTAATCAAGGTGTCTTAGCCTTCCTGGTTCAAGAGGGCAGGAGATAATGAACAAAAATGGAATGACACATTGTTTGTCCAGTGCGCAATTACCACACAGTCAGTTATGCCACATTAGACTCTGTAGTGCTGTGTAACAGGCGACAAGACTAGGGACATGGGGACAGAGGAGAGAGCAAGAAGGGACACAGCACTGTAGCACCTGGTCAACAGCCAGTTACTGTAGGTCTCATTTGATCTACCTGGAGCATAAAGTAGGGGGAAGTATAACAGAACATTTGATATGGGACTGACAGAATGAGGAAGTTATATTTTTTTGAGTGAGTAGCATGTTCTTTTTATAGTTAGGCAGGGATGTGTAGAAATTGCTACAGTAATAATCGAGCGATGATTCATTTCTACTTACTTGTGTTGTTCTGAAGGTGGACTGGTGGGTCTGTGAGATACAAAAAACCTGTTGTGGGGAGAAAGGTCCTAGAAACATTAAAAATGCTAAGTGGTGTAGGACCTGCAAATTGTCACTAGTGTGACAGCAGCAAATAACATTTTTAGAATGAATAAAATTAACATGATTACCTTCAATCTGAAGAAAGCAGACCTTCAGATCACATGAACTCCTCCAACTCCTGTGCAGACGTACAGTAAACAGACACTGTGAGCCAGCTTGGAGGAATCTGAGCACAGTGTGGAAGAACAGGAGGGACTGGAGTAATATCTTCAATCCTGAAAATGCATGTCTCTTCTAGGCAGTTGCTAGGCTACAGTCTGGAGAAAATGTACAGAACAGATCCCCCAATGTGAAAAGGGGCTGGACCGTCATTCAGTGTAGTAATGAAATAAAAAAGCAAACAATCAGCACTTATTGTAACCTAATCAAGAGAGGTCTCCATAGGTTCTATATGCCCTTAGAATGACCATTTGTACTGTAATAGAGCTGGAAACAATGAATAGGTGATTATCCTTTCCAAGAATTCAATTTGATTGTCCCAATTCATTTTTCCTGCAAACCCACAATGCAAAAGTTGTGATGGGAGCAGTCCTCCATCTCCACTATCTTGTGTTCCATACACTCAAGCTTTACTACAGGCCCACTAAGTAGTTTTTTCTGTTTCCTCTGTTTATGGGAGATCAAGTCCTGTTTTTAGACCAATAACTGAATATTTGAAATCTGAAAAAGTCCATGCCTTTAACAGCAATATGTAAGCTCACCGCTGCCATCTCAGTTTGAACCAATAGTACCTTCATCTCAATTGAGTGGCCATTTTAATTAGGTCAGGAGAATTGAATCTGTTCAGATTTTTCTTGCTTGGAGAAGGGTCAGTATTCATTTGATATCCAGAAATCTGGAACATCAACACAGCAATAATGAAATGAAAACTGGTGGCAACAAATATAAAAAAAAATAGGATTGCTGCAGCAGGAATTCTATGTCTGAGGTACCTCAATACCAGTATAAAGGATATGATTCACTACAGCATATTTTCAAAACAGGATTTCAAATGAGATATATGACTGTGAGTGATACTGAGGACTACTTTAACAAATACCCCATCTTGCCTGTTTCAAGTCTGTTTAATTTGCTTATTCTATCTATTACTGGCAAGTGCATAAAACTGGCAACCCAAAATATTTGTTCAGAGATTATTGAAGGCACCTGTTACGAAGTTAAACCTATTTTCTTTTTCTTTCACATTGTACCAAAAACCTTCAAGTTATTTATTTTGTGTGTGTTTATAATAATAATAA